ATTGTTTAATATAGAGCCCTAATCATAAATAGTATTCGGGACTGTTGAAATCGGCCTTAACCCTAAACCCTTGAAATCGACACCTAGGTTTTCTAGGTAGGCCTTTGGGACATTTCATAATTTTCCCTTGTTGGGCTAATAGGACCCTATTTACATTTTTCAGAAGCTTTACGGGGCCAACCTAGTTTCGATTCAGAGCCACGGCCGTCTATTTCCTACCCTGACCACAGGGAGCTAGGAAGCGGTCCCCCAATAGCAGTGCAGAGGTGACCTAAACCCGAAAAAACCAAACCCTAAAACCCTAAACCCGAAACCCGAAACCCGAAACCCTAAACCAAACCCTAAACCCTGAACATCCCTGGACCCTACTTGGAGGATCACGGGACTTAGTAACTATAGTTATAAGTCCCTTAATTGGCGTTATAACCAATTATAAGTGTAGTTACCTCAATAATAACCCTAGTTACTAAGTCCCATGATCCTTTAAGTAAACCTGAGGCCCCAAACCCTGAACCCTAAGCCCTAAAGCCTCAAGCGAACGACGAGTTTTGCAGGTGGAGACGGTACTGCAGACCGCATTTGCCATGCAGCCGCTGCTTACTTTGGCCGATCTGGAAGCAGCCGTCTTGAGAATGCCTCTTAGAGCCGGTTTAAGGTGATTTTTGGTTTAGGGTTTAGGGTTGTAGCTTTGTAGGGCTTAGGCCTTGGAGACGTTTTGAGGTTTAGGGTTCAGGATTGAGGGGTGTAGGTGTTTCGAGCTTTAGCACATGACAAGTTTAAGGTTATTGGATTTGGGGAGTTCAGGATTTAGGGGCTTATCTGTTTAGTAAGAGTGTGGAGTCGTTTTGGCTTAAGGATTTGGGCTTTGCGCCGCTGGCAAAAACCATTCTGAGCCTTGTAATGAGGGTACTCTTCGCTCAGGCCTGAGATTCGGATCCCTTGTTTTCTCCAACACCTAAACTATAACACCTAAATCCTAAATCCTGAAACTCAAAATGTCTCCAAGCCTTAAACCCCAAAAAAACCCAAACCCTAAACCCGACAGCACCTTAAACAAGGCTCCCAAGGCCCCATAACCTACTCCCTAGATCCTGAAACATCTCCGGAGGCACTTCAATCCGTAATCCTAAGACCTAGCCCTAAACCCTAAACCCTAAGAACCGCTAAAACGTCTCCTGAGGCCTGCCTTCAAGCAGCATACGAAGTTCAAGGACGCAGGGCTTGGCGACCTCGCGCGACATCCAGAGGCCTTTTTGGGACCGAAGACCCCTTCCTGCTTGGAAGTCTTTTAGGGGTTCCTGTACGACGGTTTGCATCGGGATTGGGTTTAAGGCTTCAAGTTGCAGGGTGCGTGCGTTGGGGTTCAATTCAGGTTTTGGGATGTTTTAGGTTTCTAGGTATTCCTTTTTTCATGAGGTTTCTTTGAAAACCCCGATCCCTTGCCAAATGACCCCTGTAAGAGTGTCAGCTTCAGTTCCCATACCATATAAGACTTAGGGTTCTGGAATTTCATATGCTGTTTTCATTGCTGGGATCGTGTCTATTCGTAGCAAGCACTGCAGACAAAAATCTCGACTTGTGTCTCCTTCAAAAATCCGATTCCGATGCTTCGCGGCACATGTGGCCACCAGAAACGCCAAGCCGGGAAGCCCCAAATCATCATCCCCAAAAACCCAAACCATCAAGCGCACAGCCCTAAACATGTTATGCACAAGCCTCAATATGTACCAGTCCCAGTATTCGTCCTGAAGGTTCCTTACCATAATCCTTATCACACTCATACTATACAGGATGCCAAAACCTTATTCTAATTCTTGAGACTCCTACGACCCTTACATTAATGCCTAGACCAGGTCTTCCGGCGACTACGCCTGAACCATCCGAGCCTGTCTGCGCTACCAATGCCGAATTCGTTCCCAAAGATCACGCGGCCTGTCCTGCACGGCCAGCAAGGCTCTAAACCCTAAGTCCTAGATCGTGGCTTAGCGTAGAGGGTGCAATCCCCAGGCCCCAAATCCATGCTTTCGGCTTGCCTTTGCGAGGTGGAGCGATTGGCCCATATGCAAGCCCTAGCTGGTTACGGTAAGTCTTTTGCCGGAAAATACGGATCCCTCATATTGTTCAACCCACATCCAAATGTGCTACAGCATTTCCCCACACTCTGTGGTTTGCCTCGTTGCTGCAAGAGGTGCGCTGAGCCTTACAATTGGGCCGGAGACTTATGCCCTAAGTTACGGGGTACTCAAAAGCAATTTTCTTAATTCTTGGATACGTTTACCCGAAAGCAATAGCTAAAACTACAATTATTGCGCGGGTCCCAAGTTCAATGAGCCTAAGACCCTAAACCCTCCGACCCTAAAGCTTATTCCCTCAACCCTGAAACTCTAAAGCCCAAATCTTGCCTGGCCTAGTAGTAGAGTAGGGAATTTTAATGCGCTCCGATAGTCGAAATGCAAAGCACACGCAACAACCTTAGTGTTAGGGTTGAAGGTTTTGGGGTTTGGGGTTTAGGACCGAAAAGGAATACTAGCACCAGCTGCTACGACGCAAAAACAACCCTCAAGTTGTGTTCTTTCGACTGGTGACCTGACCATGTTGAGCTGAACTATTGGAGTTTAGTGTCCTGAAACCCTCCGAAAACGTTGCTAGGTAGGGCCTTTGGGACATTTTACGTTTACCCTTGTTTTGCTTCTGAGATCTTGAGATCCGAAACTCCTCAAATTCTAAGGCAAGAGGAGATCTTGACGAGTTTGGTGGAGAGCCTGAACACCAAGGGCACCAACAGCGTCTGGGACCGCGAAAGCCGCTTGGCTGCCCTAGGCTCCTAAACCGAGTTGAGTCATAGGAATTTGGGGGTTTCGGGTTCAGGATTCAGGGTTAAGGGTTTAGTTCAGGGTTCATGGTTTCGTTGGCGGTTCGGAGTTTGGGGGTTGAGGTTTCAGGGTAAAGGTTCAGGATTTAGTGTTTAGCATTAAAACGCACCCCTTGAGCCCCAAATCGTAAGCTCCATTTCCTCCTAGGACCTAGAGTAGGCCCTTATTCCCTTTTTGCGGGGTTCAGTTTCTGTATGATCCCCTTTACGCCCAAAAGGGCACCCTTTTCATTCCTAGGTTACTCTTAGGTCTAGCCTCAGACCTAGCGACGTCCCGGAATCCCTGACTGAGGCGAGGAGGCATGGACAGTGGACAAGGGGCTGGCGGCCATCGCCGAAAAGAAAGGCCCCTTCGGATCTTGCTCATGTTTGGGGAACGCTCAGGATAGCTGGTATAAAAGAATGAATGAACAAGTAAACTAGCAAACCTGTATGTCGGTTTGTCTGCATTTATGTATACATATAAGATCTAGATACTCAACATGCATGCACTATCTCGGGAACCTTGCTGTTATCTTCGGCTGTGCATGCATGTTTGTCTAAGACCTGGGGTAGGCCCTTACTCCCTTTCTTTAGGGTTCAGGTCCCTTACAAGCCCGTTTACACCAAAAAGGGCACCCTTTTTAGTCCTAGATTACTCTTGGGTCTAGAGTTGTGACGTGCGTGGGGGGGGTGTGGGCTGAAGCGGGCTTGGGGGCACCCCGTTCGGGAGCCGGTCGCTGCAGTAAGTAATGTTGTAGGGCTTGTATGGTACGACCACTATGAGGCATTGCCATGTGGACTTCTTGGAATAGGGATGTATATTTTTGCCGGGCAACAGAAACTTCATTTGTTTTATGTTTTTTGGATTGAGAACTGTACTTTAGCCACCGATTATTTTGATTTCCCACACCAAGATGTAAAACTTTTTGACTTTGTCGCAGAACTTTAATTACTATTGGGCAGTTTGTTCCATGTGGCATGTCCCTGGTAGATTGATTTTCACTGTGCAGTGCATTAGGCGGTTGATCATGAGAGGTGCCTGCATGCACTGTGTTGCACGATAGATTTTTGCGTTTTGCCTGCATCGACTCATGTGACGCATGCCGCTTCAGTCTTGCATGTTGCCCGTATGAGGTCATGTGCAAGGGCTATGATGCATGAGCATTTGTTCTTGAAATCTTGCTGCCTGCATTACCATATCGCATGGTAGCGTATTTTGGTGTTTCTTTTTTCCTGCATCTGCATGAGCTCATGTGCAAGCGGCATCATGTGCATTCATGGCATTCTTGCATGCTGGCTTGAGTACTGTTATCACGGTGGCATTTTGCATGCCTCAGCTAGTGTGCCTGGTTCTGCTGCAACTTCTTTGCTGGCACCCTGTTGCGCCGTTGCGGAGTGCTGGCACGAGTTCAGGTGCAGTGTGTGTTGCCTTTGCGTTGTGGCTCAGGGGTCGCCGCGGCCGATTGCAGCTTGCTATGTAAGTGCTTTTGGGCCCAGGGGGTGCGGCTTGCTTGCGCACCTGGGATGATCCTGCTGCGCTGGATGTAGTGCGTGTGTGCACCGTGGAGGTACAGTATCTCTATTGCCACTGCCACACTGCGCTATCGTTTGCAATGCTTAAGCTGCTTATACTGTCGCTTAGCGTAGCTATGTTTGCGCTGCTCAGACTACATGCTTTCGTTGCAATCCCTGGCAAGCACTGGTCACTAGACACTACACGGTACTTCAAGCGCGTGGTGTCGACGGTTGCCGCATGTGCCACATGTGCAGTCATGCAGTCAGGTTTGCCGCAGTTTGCGTCTGTTGCAACACAAGCTTTTGCTCATGCTCATGAATGCTCATGTTGACTCATGTTTGGTTGCCGCACGCGCCTCTGCTCGTAGCACTTCCAAAGTGTCACACTGTCACAATCAATCAACTACTTAGTTGGGCTGTAGCTTCGTTGCAAGCCACGGACTGTAGGTAGACGTATAGATTATAGGATTGCACAGGACCCTCACGTGTTTCAGTTTCATTGATTTCAATCACATAAGATAATCACATGCATGAGAGCATGCATTATGAAGTTCATTGAAGATCATGATTCATGACGCATTTTAAGCATTCATCGGGTAGGCTTTTGCTGACCGGTCTCCCTGTCTCACTCATGGCGGCCCATCCCGCCATTTCGTCAGTGTTATTTGCTCTCGGGCAAAAAGTTAGAACATCCAACGTTGGCGGGGTCATATCCAAGGCGGACTTGCTTGACGTGATCGTTGTATTTTGCGATTCGGAGGCATCGGCTTCGAATGCGGTTCAACGTACTCGTGAGGTGGTGCAACGTAGAGTGAATCGTTGGTTGAAGACGAACTCTCCGGAAAGAGCCGGCTATCTACACATTGTCGACGGTCTCCGGGCACCGCTCTCTGTGGAGTATTTTGGTCCTGATGTTGTGGTGGAGGTGCTCCGGCATTTCGGAGCCGTTATCACAGATGAGTCTCGAGGTGACTTTGTGCACAGGATGCAAGGGAGTGACAGTGCCACAGGAGAGGACATGGCAATTCATCTTGATCCTCACCCGGCTCCTGCTTGCCCAAATGCACCCATCAGTCGCATGGGTTCCATGGAATCCGAAGGGGCTGCTCGGACTGCCCGTGATGATGATGATGCTGAGAGTGGTGCTGCCGCTGCTGCTGCTGCCTCTTCTGGCACAGATGCAGTTGCGATGTTTGACCCTGAATTTCATCCTGTGCCTGCTGGTCCTGCCGTTGCAGCTGCAGAGGGAGAAGCGGCCGAAGATAATGTGCACAAAAGAAAAAAACGCAGGGTTAGGGGCAACAGTGATTCTGTGGCAACACTCTTTGATGAGTACAAGCAGAAATATCAACATTATTCCCACGATGATCTTGTCAGAGAGGTCATGTTGCATGAGAAGAATTGCACCCAATTTCGAGAAGACAGCTTGGCCAAAGATGGGACCATACAGAATCTGCAGAAGAAGTTGAAGACTGCACAACAACAACTTCGGCGAATAACGAAGGCCAAGACGAGAGCGAAAGCAAGAGCAGCATCAGCAGCACCAGCATCCACAAAAAGGAGAGCCAAAGGACAGCGACAGCAGCATGAAAGCAACACCTTGCCAGACTACCTTCGGGCTAAGCAGAAGTTGGCGATCACGCGGACAGGCGCGGGTGAAGATGCTCCAGGTAGATACCTCACGGTCCCTAGTACGGTGGCCCTGGCTTTGAGACGGAACTTGAGCAACGTGTCCTGTGCTGACCTGGGGTTGGTAATTCTGGACGACGCTAGCAGGTGGAGTGTGTCTAGGTCAGAGGTAAGGGCTGGGGCAGCTGCCACGGCTTCAATGCGTGAGTGGCATGCAGGGATGCTCCAGGAGATGTTTCATCCAGATGGTGCAGAGGATTTCAATCTGTCTTTGCACATCGTGTCCCAAGATGCAACGAATTCTGGAATCTGGCAAAAGCGCAAGTTGATTGCTCTTTTGTGTCATTCTGCCTATTTGGTGTCGTTGCCGTCCAAATTCAGATGGTCCTGGCATGACATGTTTCGCGAAATTCGGGCCATTGCAGATGTGCAACCAGTGGAAGATGGAAGCGGCCAAGGCTCTGTTTCGATGACGACAAAAATGCTAAAGAGCATAAACTGCCCGACAGTGCATGACTTGGTTGCCAAGCATGCAGAGCTTAAAGCCGATGGTCAACAGCGTCAACAGCATCAACCCTCAGATGAGAAGCCCGCAGACGCAGATGCGAAGTTCCTTTGCGTAGAGTGGCAGCTGTAAGTCCGTAAGTAAGTTTTGCAATGTGTGTCGTGCGTTGATTTCGTGAGTTGACGTGTTTTTGTCTATCGGGAAACACGACAACATGACAACATACCCACTCCACATCTGCCCAAGTCCGGCCTGAGTCCTAAACCGAAGCCAAGACCTAGACAACCTAGATTGCCTAGTAGCCTAGACTGCATCCGCCTGTCTGTCTATGTTTATGTTGTCTGTACATTGCTGCTAAGGCGGGCTGACGACTCTGTCCAGTGGCCTGTCCATGTCTATGTCTTTGTGACAGACAGAGGACCAAATGAAGTTCTTGCGCGCAAGATATGGCAGTGTGTCAGCTCTGCATGTGAGCACGTGGTGGTGCTAGGAAGTGATTGCCTGGAGCATGCAGCTCATTTGGTCACAGTCAGCTCACTTAAGCTCGTTGACAAGCTCTTGCCATTGCAATTCGAAGGGAAAGGTCGTGCATGGAAGTACTTTTCATCGCTTGCGACTTTCTCCATCACCGTGCGGGATTCATCCAAAGACTTTTTCCAGATGTGGTGTCAAGAACACGGAGATTTGTCCGGTGTCAAGCACGCCAAAAGTCTTTGGCCGAAGTGCGTGGCAGGACGTTGGAATTCCTGCAGCGACGTTGAGCGTCGAATGCACGATTCTGGTGGGCAGGCTACGGTTTTACCGGTGATGCGACGACTCATGGGAGCCAAGCGCGAGGCGGCGCCAGCTAAAGAACACCAGAGCATCGACGAGATTGCTGTAGAGGAGACTGCTCATTACACCCAACAGATGGGCAGGTGGCGTGCCACCAGCCTCAAATGCGTGGAGGACCCGTTGTGGTGGACAGTAGCTGAAGCTATGAGGATGGCACGTTCGCCTGCACTGCACCTCTCGGTTCCTCGCGGCTTGCAGTCTGCAGCATGCATTGTGACATTGTGTGGCTGTGTGGCTGTGGCAATGCAATGCTTATAAAGTCTTGTAGTGATCTGTGATCTGTGCGCAGACAGACAGACAAATACGAACAGATGCGCGCCCGCCCGCCCGCGCGCACGACACACACACACACACACACACACACACACACACACACACACACACACACACACACACACACACACCACACACACACACACACACACACACACACACACACACACACACACACACACACACACACACACCGATACCCACACACCCACGCCCACACCCACACCCACGACCCACGCCCACGCCCGCACCCACACCTAGACGCACATGCAGCACATGCACACGCACACGCACATGCACACGGTGCACACGGGCATGTGCTGCTGGATGCGCCTCCGCAATGCTTGCCTGCAGTTACTGCCTGCAGTTGCTCAATCGTTTTCGTCGTAGATGTCCGCACATGGCACGCGGCAGCAGCAGTCATGGTCGGTCATGGTGACATGCCATCTTTTGTTGGAAATCTGTTATCTGATGTTGAACTGTTGCTTGTTTAGCCACGTTTCATGTAGGGTCACGGTCGCATGTGCCTGATGCAGTTTCAAACATCACGGTGGCAATCGGCGCGAGTACATCAACAGTCAGAGTATCAGAGTAGGCTGTCTGAACGGATGAGTTATCAAGTTATCAACATCATCTTCATCTTCAACTCATGTTCAAAGGAAATGATCATTGATCGATATCGGATCAGCACCATCACTGCGGTCATCGCCGGGTACTTCCTCACACAACCGTTCATCCGTTCCTCTTGACTCTCATGTCGTCTCATGTCTCATATCTGCTGCTAGCTCTCAGGCTGTCAGGCATATGTGTTGACTCGACCATGTTTTGTTGTCGCGTTCTCACTGTGTGCGGATGACTCGTCTCTTGTGATTGGACATGTTCATGCAGGCTTTCCTGAAAAAACACGTGTCGGAAGAGGACCTGGATGGGAAAGGCCATAAAATGGCGCAGCTTGTAGACGGGAAGGCTCAGCAGCTGTTCGAGGAGTTCGAAACACTGTTCCACGACACATCTGCGGGGGCTCTTCTGAGCATGCAGGAATTTCAAGCGTTGTCTGCAGTTGAATCGGACTTTGCTTTGGGTCTCTTGGCTCAGGCGCTCATGATGAATGCGTCTGGATTTGACAGGCGTGTGCGCCAACACTGCCTGGACTTCCCGCACCTGCTCCTTGTGTTAGCACGAGTACGCCCAGAATTTCCGGACAGGAGCCGTCAAAACATCGCCAAACTGTTGTTGAAGTGTGCAGCTGGACATACTCTTGATGCATCCACCAAGAAGATAGCCTCAATTTTCCAAGATGATGTGCAGAAGGCGGCCGACGATGGAACCCTTGGTGTACGCATGTACATATTCCTGAGGGCTTTGCGCCGTCTATGGTTTTGTGATGTGCGGGAGAACGAGCGGATTAACAAATGTCTCAAGTTGTTGGGGCAGAGATGCCCAAATGCAAACCTAGATCTTGTCAGCGCACGCTGTACCTTGAAATACATGCTTGGCACGGTAGGAGCATTACAGAGAGGACTGGACGTGAATGTCAAAACACGCAAGTGGTCACACATCGCCCCTTTGGCAGCAAGCGTGGCAGACACCTGCCTCGAACATTGGCAGGCGTCACAGGAGGTAATGGAGCAAGAGGAACGTTGGGCACCGGCCAGCACACCTCCATGGATGCCAACCCCAGAAGCTGTTGCTGCTGATGCTGCGTCCCCAGCTGCCACAAAAACTAAAGCGCCCAAGGTAGCAGCGTCGAGTCTTCTTGCCGCACATGTCAACAGAAGCCTCTTCCGCTTCTACGACAAAGGCGAATATCAACGCGGTGCTGAGATTGAGGTTCCCCCGCTGACGGCCGTGCTGTTTGTCAACAAGAAACAAGTTGCCCAAAACTCTTTGTGCTCTTTTCCAGATGCCGCAAACATGTATTTCATCAGCGAATCAGTTAATCGTGCTATCCGCTTGTTGAAGGGAACCTTGCATCATACGACTGATGGCTTTGTTTGCAAACCAAATCGCCCCTGGACATTTGTTTGGGCAGCAGACGCCGTGATGGAAGTTGTCAAAACCACTCCCAAGTCTTCGTCGCAGTTGGTTGCCGTTGCTGTACCTTTGCAGTGGTCTTGCAGCGCATCGTCGATGGGGCTAACAGGAAGAGGGGCTTGCACCGTGAGGGAGGATGAGCGACATGCACGTGTGGCCGAGGCTGGATCAGCTGAGCATCTGCCTGCACGGTTTGCTTGTGCTTGTGCTGATGTTGGTTGGTTGGCCTGGTTGGCTGTTTGCATTGGTTTTGTTCAGTGTTGCTTCCAGGGATGCTGAGGCAGCGCAGTGTTAACACTGTAGTAGCAATTGTAGCAGCGGTTGCTGAGTGGCAGAGGCAGTTCTTGTTTGTTACTAATGTCACTAATGTCACTGATACATTGCTCATATCGCCCCATGGTGCCTATGCAATGCCAATGTGACATGTGCAATAACGCCAGTCACTTATGTCACCGCATTTGCAATACCGCCTCAGACACGAACATGTTGTAGATGTAGATGATGTAGTCTCTCAGCAGTACGCTCACTATACCGTCACGGTGACCGACGGTGACCGAGTCCTTGTCCATGGTGTCGCTTCCATTCCTCCAACCTCGTCCAACCTCCAGCCGTAGTGCTTGCCGCATGATGATGTGATGATGTGGATGATGAATGATGATGATGGTTAGTTACTCGTCGTCGATACGGTTATTTATGGCGGTTATGACGGTTTTCGATCTCGGTCTGTAGCGTGATGGGAGGTCTGTGATCTTCAAATCCCATCAGCGGCTGATGAAGCAGTCGTGCAAAGTCTGGTCGCCTCCCGGTCCCAAGCCCAGGGCGGAGAACCCCTCAACAAGGATGCTAGCAAGGCTAGCAAGGAGTCCACGGAAAGTTTGGTGGAAGTGCCGCCGCTACCGAGTTCCAGTTCATCCAGCTCCAAGGGACCCGAGCCTGCGATCACAGAACCATCTCTATCCCCTTGGATGGCAGCAGCTCTGGCAGAGATACGACGCAAAGAACGCGAGGACTTCCGTGAAGGTGAAGACCAGGCCGGTGACGACGAGCTTCACACTGAGAAAGATGTGGACACAAACTCGGGTCTAGATGCAGGTAGGTTACAAGAAGTTCTGCGTGGGGCTTTCGGGCTTACTGATGCGTATGATCTCGAGACCGCGGACTTGCAAGCACTGGATGAGGAAGGTTCCTTGTCGTCGGCACAGGCCAAGGAGGAGAGATTGATAAACGAGGCGTTGGACCAGGGCAAGGTCAAGAAGGATCGATTGTCGCAATTGTCGCATGTCGTGACATCCATGATTGATGCTGGCGCAGACCCAGAAGATGCGGTGGCCGAAGCCATATTGAATGATGTGCAGGTGATGGGCAACTCAGACTCTGTGTCTGTGAACGAACACGACGATCCAGATCCGGAACAGTCCGAACATGCGCCTGCAGCAGAACCTACCAACGACAGCATTCCTGTCGCCTTTGGGGTATGGCAGGATGCGGTGAACTTTTCACTGGAATGCTTACAGGAGCGGCGTCAAGCATGTAATGGCAAAGCTGTCGGAGAGAATAAAGAAATTTCACTTGTCCTGGGTAGGGTGAAGCAGCCACGCGCAGAAGAAGAAGAGGAGTCTGTTTTCTTTGTGACATGGACGGATCCAGCAGCGGACAAAAGGGAAGGGCGACCGGTAAGGCTAGATAAGGAAAACCGTGTCGTGTGTGTCGTGGCCACCGGAGACTTGCGCGTGGCGAGGGACTATAGAGATGTTCAGATCGTTCATCCTGCGTGTGGTGCCCGCATGGAGCGTACTCGGGGCTGGAGAAACCAGCTTCGCCCACAGGTCTCGAAGAGCGTTATGCGGTTGAACACGATGTGGAAAACAGCTCTGCTGGCTCGGGATGAATTGAGGATGCGGCGCGAAACGCCCAATCAGGCTGCATGTCTCGCTGACACGCAGCGGCAGTGCTTTGTCTGTGAGACGTCGATGGAGCAACCAACAGATGCAAATGGACCAGTCGACGATGCAAAACTCATTTGCTTGTGCCCCTGCTGCACATTACCTTCGCACGCGGCTTGCTGTCAACAGGTGGTTCGATATTCCGAGACACATGGCATTGATCTTCGTGCATCTGTGGATCTTTCCAATGCGGGGATCGCAGTCCTGGATGAACCTCCTTTCACTTGGCAAGATGCATCGCATCTTGCTTGCAAGTAGCTCAATTAGTTGTCCGGCGTCCGCAGATGACCTACAGTCTGTAACTGGGCCAAGCTAGGGTAGCGGCGGGCCGTGGTTGGTGATGCTTCATTTGGAATGATTTCTTCGAGTTGCACACATGACATGTACTGGCATGTGCTGAGTGTCAACTGCCATTCATTCAGCAGTTGGTGCACTGGCACACTGGGTTGTTGCTGATTGCTGTGGCTTCTGCGGTTGCTGTTGTTATTGTTGTTGTTGTTGCTGTTGCTGTTGCTGTTGTTGTTGTTGTGGTGGTGGTGGTGGTGGTGGTGGTGGTGGGGGCAGTGGTGGTGGTGGTGGTGGTGGTTCTGGTGGTGGTGGTGGTGGTGGTGGTGGTGGTGGTGGTGGTGGTGGTGTTGTTGTTGGCAGTGGTGGTGTTACGGTGTTGTTGCCGCTGTCGTCGCTTGCTTTGCTCCGAGGTTTCATGCGGCTTCATGTGCGTCACGTCATTGCATTGCATGCCCATGCACACGTCACGCCGCCGGCTGCCTGCATTCACTCTGCCGCTTCGTTGTTCTGCCACGGACTGACGGAGGCTACTATGCGCCGTCTGCCACGGCTTGTTGAACCCTGCGGCGCCTGCAGATTCTGGAGAAGAAGGTCGCGGCGTTGATGTACTGGTGTACTGCATTGGCATTATACTGGCATTGATTGATTGATCTTACGTAGGACTTGCAGCCTGCCCCGCTAAACCCGTACTATTCTCAGTACATTCCAAAAAAATGTTAC